CCTATGCGTTTTGAGGGGATACAAACACTCAGTCCATAGCTGAAGCTGATTTTATTTTACCAGACATTAAGTTTTAACAAATTTGATTTTATTTTTATTTCAGTTACTAATGTGGGTGGGTGGTTAGACTCCTTTTATCTTTTCAGTGATTGAAGCTCGAATGGAGTTCTAGAGAGGTTTGCTGTGAAATGAGAGAGAACTTTCAGTAACGGTTGAAGTCATGGACTGATTCTTGGTATAATAACAGCTTTCACAAAGGGCTAGAAGAAGGCACATTCAGCAGATGAATAAACTATTCTCTTGCATTTCTTATTTTTCTCCCCCTTCCCTGTGTGTGAGTGTGTGTGTGTGTAACTTAGCTTGTCCCTAAGAAGAAAAAGAAGATTAAACATTCTTTGTCTATTACCCCCAAGTTAAAGTACCAGCCCCTGCCCTGTTGCATAATCTTGGCATGCCATAAAAATACACAGCCCTGGCTCCAGTCTTGAGGTGTGCCTCTGTTGCCTCCATGTTCTCGCCAAAGCCATTTTTCCCTCTGTAAGGGAGGGAAGTGGTCTGATAAAGCCTTTTACCCTTGTAAGGATTCCCAAGAACATACTATTCAATAAGATAAGCTCTAGAGGCAGGGTGATGTTACCTCAAAAACATCTATCTCAGGCCCTGTGGTTTCTGGACATAAAAGAGCTTCCCTTCAAGTGAGGTTAAGGTTGGAGAATTACGGATGCGTAAATAATACTTAATAAATATTTGTTGAAATTAAATGGGCAGGTGTGGTAACCTGTCTCCAAAGCTACTCCTTTTGCCTACATTCAGTAATGCTTGGAATAAAGGGACTGTTCTTATGTAATTAACCAATAAAATACAACCAAGGAAGAGGATANCTGGGTCACCAGATCCCTCACATGCCAGGTTGGGTCACCAGACCCCTCACACACAGGTCTATGAGCTGGGTAACTGGCCAAAAGTTCCTTGGAGCTGTAGGTTCTAGAGCATGGCTGCACAGGGCCAACACCTGAGGCAGTCACCAGCCAAGTAGCAGCAACATGCATGCACACTAACTCTACCCACACACAACTCCTTTACAAAGAATGTGCCGTGCCACTCCCAACTGGACCCAAGGTGACAGGGCCTGACCAAATTATTCTATTTTCCCAACAGAGGTTTAAGGAAGGAAGCTGTCTCCATGACGTAAAGCACAAGATGAAGCAGCAAATGCTGATGCAGAAGCTGCAGCAAGTGTTCCAGAAGATCAAGCTAAGACCATTGATAAAGGTGGCTACACTGAACAACAGATTCTCAGTGTAAACAAAACAGACTTTTATTGGAGAAAGATGCCATCTAGGACTTTCATAGCTAGAGAGAAGTCAATGCCTGGTTTCCAAGCTCCAAAGGATAGTCTGCCTCTCTTGTTAGGAGCTAATTCAGCTGGCAACTTTAAGTTGCTGAAAACTCTCAATTACCATTCTGAAAATCCTAGGGCCCTTAAGAATGATGCTAAGTCTACTCTTCCTGTGCTCCCTAAGTGAAAGAACAAAGCCTGGACGACAGCACATGTGTTCATAGCATGATTTACTGAATATTTTAAGCCCACTATTGAAACCACCTACTCAGAAAAAAGATTTCTTTCAAAATATTGCTGCTTATTGACAATGCCCCTGGTCACCCAAGAACTCCGATGGAGATGTACAAGGAGGTTAATGTTGTTTTCATGCCTGCTAACACAACATCCATTCAGCAACCTGTGGATCAAGGAGCAATTTTGACTTTCAAGTCTTATTATTTAAGAAATACATTTCGTAGGCTATTGCTGCCATAGATAGTGATTCCTCTGATGGGTCTCGGCAAAGTAAACTGAGAACCTTCTGGAAAGGATTTACCATTCTAGATGCCATTAAGAAAGTTTATGATTCATGGGAGGAGGAAGAAGTTGATTTCAACCCTCATCCATGACCGTGAGGGGATCAAGATTTCAGTGGAGGAAGTAACTGCAGATGTGATGGAAATAATAGCCAGAGAAATAGAATTAGAAATGGAAGCTGAAGATGTGACTGAATTGCTGCAATCTCATGCTAAAAGTTGAGCAGATGAAGAGTTGCTTCTTATGGAGGAGCAAAGAAAGTGGTTTCTTGAGATGGAATCTACTCCTGGTGAAGATGCTATGAACATTTTTGAAATGACAATAAAGTATTTTGAATATGACATAAACTTAGTTGATAAAGCAGTGGCAGGGTTTGAGAGGATTAACTCCAATTTTGAAAAAGTTCTACTTTGAGTAAAATGCTATCTAACAGCATCACATGCTACAGAGAAATCTTTTATGAAAGCGCCAGTTGAGGCATCAAACTTCATTGTCCTATTTTAAAGAATTGTCACAGCCCCCCCAAGCATCAGCAACCACCTCACTATTATCTGTCAATGGCCATCGACATCCAGGTAAGACTTTCCACGAGTAAAAAGATTACTCACTGAAGGCTCAGATGATCATTAGCATTTCTTAGCATTAAAGTATTTTTCATAAGGTATTTACATTACTTTTTCAGACATAATGCTATTGCACACTTAATAGACTACAGTATAGTATAAATGTAACTTTTATATGCACTGGGAAACCAAAAATTTGTGTGACTCACTTTAGTGTGACATTCACTTTATTGAAGTGGTCTGGAACCAAATCCACAATATCTCCAAGGTATGCATGTATTTCAATTACATAATAGAATTAAATTTTATCTAAATTGTTAATTTATTGGGGGGAAAGAGAGCTATTTCTATGAAAACTAAACTGAATATTTTGTGAACACTTAACATCGTGAAGTTGCTAAACACATTGTTAGGTAATCTGTGCACAAGACAATTGTAAACAAAAATGGGAAAAATTGCAAATATCCCAAAGTAGTCTACTTTCAGATTGCCACAGTGATGTCTTTAATTCCTACCTCTACTTTAAAGAAACAAACTGGAAACTGTAGACAGCACACTGCGAACACTGTCTATGCAAGATTATTTCAAATTCCAAGCAGCTGACCCAGTTCCAAGAAATGGCCTTGGTCCATAAGGTTCAGCAAAAACCTATTTAAACTAAAATAATTATCTTGCAGAGGTTTTAATTTACGTTTCTTTTGGTGACCTTAACTAATCAGTTAGTGTCCTGATTATATTAGATAAGAGTGGCATCTACCACATCTCAGTAACACAAGACAAAGAGAACAATGATGGGATATTTGAGGATCAGGAAAAATCAGAGGCAAGAAATTTTTGCTAATTGGAGAAGAATAGCAGATGAACAGAAATTAGCCCACAAACACATATGAGATTCTGCCTTCCACTTAACATTGTTAGTACCAACTTGCCAACTAAGCATAGATTCTCTCACCGCATACAAGATCCACATTTTCCAAATCATTTAAACCCAAATAGGTACAAGAGCATTGTGGGATCTGCTAAAACTGTAGTGATCGAAAGCACAGGGATATACCTATTGCTGGGTTAGCAGAAGGGCAGA